TAGTGCTGTAGTACTGCTGTAATACTGCTGTAGTCCTTCTGTAGTACTACTGTAGTCCTCCTGTAGTCCTCCTGTAGTACTGCTGTAGTACTGCTGTAGTACTGCTGTAGTACTGCTGTAATACTGCTGCTCCTGTTACAGTCTGTCTGCAGGTTTTTGGAACATCCACTTGCTCTGGTTTGACTTCAGTTTATTGAAACACAAACAGACCACAACAACACACACAATAACCACAAAGAGACACAAAACACACTCTGAGAAGGAGTTGAAGTTATCTCACAACATCTCACACACATTACACGACAGCTTTGACTCACACGTTTCTTTAATAAAGATAATAAATGTGATTGTTTTTGGTACTGAAAAATAAAAATGCTAAATATTAAAAAAGGTTAGTATTTCTGAATAATGATAAATAGAATAAAATCAGCTTCAAACTGATGGGTTTTGTCTCCTTTCTGTGTGTCCAGGTGGTGGAGACCAGCAGGTCGGCTCCCTCCTACTCTCTGAGGCCTCCTCCTCCTCCTCTGTAAGACCTCCCATAACAGCAACACACTGCTCACTGCTAGTTAACAATACACTTAATACTAGTTGGACATTAGCTTTAAGCTAACTGTACCTAGAAGCTACCTTTAAGCCAACTGACCCGACAACCCAACTTTAAGCTAAGTCTTTCTAGAAGCTAACTTGACTTGGAACCTTATTGAAGACCGAGCTCTAGAAGCTAACTTTAAGCTAGCTGTACCTAGAATCTAATTTTAAGACAACTGGTCCTAGGTTGTAACTCCAAGCTAGCTGGAGGTATAATCAGACTTTAAGCTTACTGGACCTAGAAGCTAACTTTAGCTAGAAGCCAACTTTAAACAAACTGAACCTAGACACTAACTGCAAACTAGCTGGTTTTAGAAGGTAACTGCAAACTAATTGGACCGACAAGCTAACTTAAAAATAACTGAACCTAGAAGTTAATTATAAGCTAACTGAGCCTTGATAACGTTAAGCTAACTGGATCTAGAAGCTATTTCGAAGCGAACTGTACCTAGATGTAACTTTAAGCTAACTGAACCTAAAAGTAAATTCTAAGCTTAATGTACGTGGAAGCTAACTGGAAGCAAACTGGACCAATGATGCAACTCTGAGCTAACGTGACCAGGAGTCTCTTTGCTATCTAGCCCTAGAAGCTAACTGAAGTGGGGAGCAACTGGGATTTTACCAGAAGTCGCTGTGCTGACACGTCATTTTTTTTTTTTATGTCCCCAGAAAACCGAAACCTTCTGCTGCATCACAGCCTCTGGTGCCTCAAAGACCCGCCCCCGCTCCACCTGTTTAACTTCACCTGGATGACCCCCCTCCTCCCCTCTTCAATCTCAGTCCCCGCCCACTTAGAGCTGGTTACCTAGCAACAGCCAGGAAAGGATTTGTAAGCCAAAATGGCTGCCGTCCGGCCCTAAGGTCTGTCGGAGTCGGACTACCAACTGGACCGGTACACTAGTAAACTGGCCCCAGTCAGACTGGACTGGGAATTTACCAGAACCAACAGGAACACAGTGGGACTGAACTGAAGCAGCTACTGTTCTCTATAGTCTTTTGTTCTTTCTTTCTTTCTTTCTTTCTGGAGCCCGAACTCAGCTCCATCAGGTGACACACCTCCACCTCCGTAGCCAAACCAGCCAATCAGATTTCACGTCACCTTCCCCATCAGCCAAATACCAGCAACCAAGTGTATTTATATAAGAGCTTTACAGGCAAACGTAAAAAATCAAAACGTAACGAAACAACGTGAAATCAATTGGAAAAAAAGTACAAACAAGTTGAATGAAGTGCACAAAAACTTGATAGAATATTTTAAGCTGATTGAGTAAAACAGTAGAAAAGACAAAAAATGAATAAAGAAAAACACAAAAGAAGCAAAATGACAGACAGCAGATTAAAATACAATTAATTTAATAGAATAAACCAAAAATAGTACATGTTGAATAAAATGCACTCAAATTTTATAGAATTGTAGCAATTGGCTAAAACTGTGGAAAAAGAAATTCATCATCATCATTCAGTCATTCATTATCAAAATCTTATATTCTAGCTGTAAAAATCTGTTTTTTTTGTGTCGTTTAGTCTGCTAGGTAGCTAACAGACATTTGTTAGTTTGTCTGTAGTTAGCTGGTTAGCTGTAGTATTTCCAAAACGCTAAACTCCTGCTAGCGTCACAAAACGTCCACTGTGTGGATAGCTAGCCGGCTCATGAACTAGCAAGCTCAGAAAGTGTTGAGCAAATGCTAATTAACTGTCTCACCAATCACTCAACAGTCAGATTTATTTATCATCATGATTTTCTACTCTGAAAAGAAGCTGTTATAGTTCAGTTGCCAATATTTGCTGTAATGTTGGTTAATCACGACTGGCTAATTAATTTAGCTTTGATAGCCTAACAACACTAGCAGGCTAACAAGGTTATGAGCAAGAACTTGTTGGCAATTATGTCCTCATATGGCACACTACCACTGTAAAATATTCATTTTCTATTTACCTTTTTAGTTTAAGTCAGGTTTAATAGCCATCAATGCTCGTAAACATAGGCTAATGCTAGTTAGCCTTGTCACTCGTTACATTGTGAGACTTTGTAGTCACTGCCCAACATTTATCACTTTTTATTTGCTATCTAACAACACCAGCAGGCTAACAGGCTCATGAGTAAATGCTTCTTAGTGATAGCATTAAAACAGTCACTATATATTTACTTTACCAGTAATATTTACACTAATATTTACCAAACACTAGCAACCCACAACCCAGATTATGTGTTCAGTAGCCATAGTTAGCTTTGCCACATGCTGTCAGTCACTACAAACATGTATTGTATCGTCATTTCAACATATTAAACACTTTTAATTCGTCCAGTAAACTAATGTTGAGCTTTGCTGGCTGATGTGTGTTGCAACAAGTTTCACCCTTAATGCTAACGCAATACAGTTCTAGTGTAGTTAGCTAGCTAGCTTGCTGACACATTTTTACTAACAAGGAGCAAATGTAAGCAGATCATGGGTTACATCTGGTAATCTACAAATATGACCGTTTCAGCTGTCAGCCTCCAACAGATTCATTTGCTTTGATGTTGAATGTTGCGTTGCAGCCTGGCAAATGTGAAACTAACAGAAATAACTCTCAGAGATTCACCAGGTATGTGTTTCTACAGCAGGTAGCTAACGTCACACACAAACAGGCCATAAATCTCCCACATGCTGTTTGCACTTGGAAAAACTATTTGTTCACGATGTTCTGGTTTGAGACCTTCATTCAACGGTTTGGGACAAAGACGCCATCTGAAACAGGAAGTGATCTTAACCAGCGACCATCAGCTTTACTGAAACAACGACTGACACTGACTTTGTCTGTTAATGTTTCTATCGCATGAACTTGAGACCTCTGCAATAAAACTTTCACTAATAGGGCTAAACACACTACGATAAGGCTGAATGGCCCTTTGTTGACATGGACACTACCGCAGGTCAGCTGCACTCTGATTGGCTGGTTTGTGGACGGGGCGGGGCTTCCACCTGGGCACTTGTTTCTTTCTGTCTTTCTGTCTCTGAATGAAGCACTGGTGCCGTCTGATTGCACTTCCCATCTGCTCAGCACTGTCATAGGAATGTAACGCACCCTCTGCTGCTGGGTGCGTTTGATTTCTGCGCCCGGTCCGCCCGGCGCCGCTCTCCCTCTCTCTCTCCAGAACTGTTCAGTATGCAACAGGGTGCGAAGCTGCTGGGCTGGTTCCGCTCCTCACGTGGATGTTTGTGGTACGTCGCTGTTTTGGCCTCTGAGCTTCGGTGAGCCTCATATCTGGGATGTTTGGTTCATCTGCAGTTAGACAAAGTGTCAGAGGCATTCTGGGAAATGTAGGCAAACACAAAAACAGGAATGCAGCCACACGTACACCCCACTCACACCAAATACGCATTATTAGTTGAACTCATCAGAGTTCAGACGGGATTTTAAACATTAAAATCACAGAATGTGGTCTGATGGAGGAGATGAACATTCAGCAGTTAGAAGAAGCAAAACTGAAACAGAGAAGGACGGCTCAGAACTCCTCTGAAAGTCTTCCACTTGTTAAAGGTCCCATGTGGTGATGCTTTTCAGCAAACGAATCAGAGTCTGTGGTCTCCCCTCAGCGAGTCTTTCAGTGGTTCAGCTCCCAACACCAGAGATGGTCGGTTCCTCTGTGACTGTCTGATGCTAGCTTTGGTCTGAGAGAAGCTAACGATGGAAACAGCTGCTGGGTTTAGAGGGAACATGAAGACACAGTGACCCGCCCAGTCCTGGTTCACTGGTTTGGACTGATGAGCTCTGAGCTGTGGACAAAGCGTCAGAGATGACGTTGGCAGTGCATCCAGACGCTTGTGTTCACTCTAACAGCAGAACATTTGGTGAGTTCTGGTCAAGGTTCAGACATTCTGGAGTTCAGCAGAAGCAGCTGGAGAAAGTAGATGAACCTGCTGGACTGTGAGGCAGCTGTTCATTCTGATTGGTTCACCTAGAAGCAGTGAGGGGGCGGAGCTATACAGAGCTGCATCACTATTGGTTAGTTAGCTGTGAGGTCGCACTGAGGTTAAATTCTTACTGTCTTATGAGCCTGTGAGGCTGACTAGCTGAGGACCGGAGGAACTAAACATCTTCACATCTGAGCAGCTTCTAGTGTCCACCTGAAAGCCAGAAACACATTAAAGCTGATCCTCACCGTTACGGGACCTTTAAGTGTCTGGATCAGCTGCAGTAAAGTCCTGAAAGCATCTTTAGCGCCACCTGAATGTGAGGAGGTGAAACGATTCAGGACTTTTACTTCCTCTCCGGCCGTGACGCTTCACGCTGCCGTTATCAGCAGGTTTCAGTCGAACCAGGGATTTCTACGCCACCAAACGTTTCTGTCTGTGTTCTGCTGCAGCTGTTGAAGCTCTGAGTCTGGGAGGAGAACATCGTGTCTGTTGAGTTCCTGAGCATCAGAGCAGCTCGCTGTCACTTCGTGCCATCTGATCGTTTTCGTGCCAAAAGACGTTGTAATTTCACATTCTGAGTTTCAGCAGGAGTTCTGTTCAGAGAAAATAGGCGACAGTTCAGGAGGTTATTTAAAGAGCTGACGGCAGCTGAGGAATCGGGTTTCGGTCAGCTGCTCGAGGTTCGCCTTAAAGGAGGAACAGACCTATAGAATAATCTGATCTCATGTTGGGACTCAAACCGACAGCTCGCTGCCGTCCCGAGTGTCGGACGATCACGTGTCGCTCTCCTCGTTATGAAACAGGAACAACAATCATACGTGCACAAAGCAGGATAAAAAGCTGTGCAACCAGGAAATCTAAAACACTAAAACACAAGGTCACCAGGACACAACGTTTCCATAAACTCATTGTAAAATACGACGATATGTTAAAGCGCAGAGCTGGTGGAGGGTTTCTGTCTGATGCTACAACCCTCAGTGCTGCAGTTCAGCAGCTGAAGGATCAAACCGACGGAGACGCTTGTCTTCACGTTAGAAACATGAATGACTTGTGTGCATTAAAACGCAGGACGTCCACCCTCTGTGTGAACTCAGGATACGCTGACGAGTGGAGACTCGTTAAGAAGACAACAGCAGACGTAGAAACAGGAACATGGAACCGCGATGAGAGCAAAAGTACTGAAAGACAGAATGAGTAGAATAACAGAAACAAAGGACAGAAGTGTTGCTTCTTTGCTGTTGTTCAGGAGTTGCAGGTCTTCAAGTATGACACAGATTTAAATGCTTCTAAGTTCATGTATGTATCTGCTGCTTACTGGTCACTGCTGCGGGTTTGGACCTGATCCGCCTCTTTTCAGGTCTAGTTTAGAAATAAAGAGTTTGTGAACCAGTGAGGAGCAGAAACTCGTGGCTGGTCTGAGTCCCAACATGAGGTCTGTTTAAACATCCATGAAACTGTTGGTTTTCTTTAATCTGATAAAAGAGGATTTCTTCCCTGAGTCGAGTCTTTCAGGCAGAGTTCAGGCCGATTCTCTGAGCCTGAGCAGGACTGTGGCGGAAAATAACCGAGTTTCACAATATTACTGCAAGAGATGATAAATGATGGTGTAATATTCCAAATTAATGTGTCCAGCAGAATACAAACAAAATCAGCTCCAGTCTTTCACATTAATGCATAAACAATGACAGTCCATGATAATGAGATAAATGAATCTGAAGTGGTTGAATCTGTCACGTTTTGCCAGGACTTGTGTACTTAAAGTATTCAGTGGTTTGTAGGCAGCCTGAGAGGTCAAACTCAGGGCAAAGCAGATCCGTTTCCATGTTCAACCTGTGTACACGTATGAGGCGAGTGAGGACGGTGTGGCGTCACCATGGCAACGCAGAATCTCCTCACCCCTTTTCTATTACGACAAATAATTTTATATAGAATATTTCTTTTATTTGCAATTGTAATACAGCTATCTGTGGTAATCCAACATGTCACATGAGTTTATTATTCAGTGTTGCTGTGTCACGTGGATTTGTAGGATTTCAGACATTCGACGGTGTTGAACTGAAGAAACCTGTCGGAGCTGAAAACACGGAGGCTCCCGTCGTTTCAGGTTACTATAGCAACAGCGGTGATGCAGGATGCCAACTGTAGAGCCCAAAGTCATGCTGCGTTCAGGTGCTGCTCGCTGTAAAAACCAAACCTGGAAGAACAAACGTGGGCGTCCTTCAGCTTCACACGATAATTTAATAAACCTTGTTCAGACGGATTGTGATTGTGTTGGTTTGGAGATTCAATAAAGACGCACAGAAATGTAGCTGCTTGTTTCAGCTCGACTGCTCCAATATATTTATTGCACATTTTTCATTTGTTGTTTTAATTTTCGTAATTTAATGATTATTTATATTGTTTATTATATTTTTAAAAAATGAATTAAAAAGAACTAGGTAAGTATATTGTTATATGATGCTAAGACTCAAAAACAAAAAAATGATGCTTTAAAAGTATTTTTGTTTATTAAAACAATTGTATTTTAAATTGCAAATTTTAAATGAAATTTGATATTAAATGATAGAACTAAATTATAAATATATTAATATACAAGTTCGTTGCATTAATTAAATAATTTTCTCTATTTGTTGTTTGAAATGTTTAAATGTTTTAATATAGTTATATTAATATTTCATATACAAACATGAACTATTCGCCTTTTATTACATTTGATGACGTTCTGCTCGCCGTGATTCAGTGTTTCACATTAACTTTATTTTAAAAGCTTGAACATATTTTAGGTTGAACAGCTGCATGTGACACTGAAACAGAATAACAGCATCAAGCCACGCCCCTCTCGCTGAACGTCATGACGTCAGCGCCGCCTCATCCGCACGCAGGCCTCGCGCTCCTGCTCCGCGCCGCGAGCTGTCATCATTTCACCGGGAGAGGCGAAGGGCATCCGGGATACCGGCCGAGAGGGAGCCGCTGCAGCGCGTTTCTCCAGGTCAGTAACCGGGACTGCGGCAGCTGTACAGCCCGGGACGCGCTCCGAGGAGACGGGCCGATGAGCTGCTTGACTCGGAGACGCTTTTTAATTGGCGATCACAGAAAATAGAAATGCGTCCGGAGGAATGTGAGCAGCACAGACCCTGTTAGCATGCTAGCTGCTACACTAACGTTACAGGGAGACCTCGGTCATCCGCTAGAATGCTCGTTAAAGCTGCCGGTGCTGATTAAAGTGACCGTAGAGGGGAAATGCGCACATTAACCGTGAAGTTTGCCTCCTAACTGCCGTTTAACTCCACTGGCGACAGTTTATCCGCTAGCACAACGTGCTAATGGCAATTAATACAAAGTAGAAGTGAAGCTAACCGGCTAATTACATAATGCGTTAGCTCCGCGGCTAGTCGAGTAGCCCGTTGGTGTTGAGTAAAAACCCGCAGCTTTAGCGTCAGTGCAGCTTTAGCGGCATTTACACTGTAAAACATCCGCCGCAGATCATTTTACAATGTTTTTGTAATTTTCGGGAACTCATGACTCGTGAAAGGACAAAGTGACCGACACCATGGGTGGCCAATGGGGGAGCTCGGCGTCGTATTTCCGGGCGGGATGTCTCCCGGGCAGCCAATGAGGAGGCGGTGTGGGCGGGTCCCGGCGGGGCGGGTGAGGGAAGCAGAATGGAGGCAGCAGGGAGTGGAGACCCAACAAGGTCAAAACACGCAGAAACTCCGGCGGAGGGGACACATGGAGGCAGAGCGGAGGAGCTCAGGCCGATCACGGCGCTCAGAACCGGCCTGCGCGGCGGGGAAGGAGTCGCCGGAGCCCCACCGGCCGCTTCATCCACCGCAGAGGCTGAAGAGATGAGCAGGAAGATCCAGCAGTGGATCTAACAAGCCTGTCAGGCAGCTTGTGGCTCTGCTGGTGTGCTGCCAAACCCTGATATGGTCCCATTAGCTGCACTCTTTAAGGTCTCACCCTCAGGACGGAAACCAAGTCAGAGCTGCAGGGACTTTTTGGCAGAAGATAAACAGCCTTAGATAAATTGAATTGGTCCATTAAAGCTACTGAACAGGTGCAAAGAACTGAACTGGTCGTAGAGTCTTAGTTTTAATATTTCCTACAGTCGGGTCAAGTTATATTTCTATCGTCTTTGTCGGGTTTTAGTCCTGAATATGTTAATTAATCCAGTCAATTCTCACACACACATCCTTATTGTTGAGTCTTAACCTCAATATTTTAGGTTTTTAATTCATACCTCAGCTCAGCGGCTGTCGCTTTGAACGTACAGAATAAATAACTTGACTCGATAATGATTGTAAGCGACGCCCTGATTACGCTCCGACCTGCAAACATTCCTTTGGTCTCCACTGTTCAGTTATGAGGAGCGTTTAAGTTTCACAGAGACGATCCTTTGCTGGAGCTGCAGACGTGACGTTTGCGTGTTATTACAGTTTGATCCAGGCGAGAGCAGCTGGAGGTGATAGAAACCGAGAAATAAACATCTGCCTTCAACACCAGCCAAGTCTTTTAGTCTGCGCTTTGATTTAAATGCACTTGTGTGATCTGAATCCCTTCAGTAGGTTCAGCTTTCCTCATGTAATGACAGCTCAGCGTACCTTTAGCTGCTGCTTTGTGCCTCTTGATGGGTGACATTTGTAGTTTTATGTGTCTTTGTGGTTGTTTCAGGGTTTTGTCTGCACTGTTGTTTCATTTATTTGTGTTAGTTCTGCTCATTTCTTTTTCTTTTTCTTTTAACTTGGTTTGTGTCTTGTTGTGATTGTTTCGTCTTTCTTGGCATTTTGCATCCAGTGGTTCTTTCTGTGCATCTTCGAGTCGGTTTAATGTCTGTTTCTGTTGAAAATAACTTCTGTTTGTGTTCGATTCGCATCTCTTCCAGTCAGTTTAACCTCTTCCTGCTAATTTGGTGTCTTTGTCGTTGTTTGTGTCCGTCAGTTGGAGCCGACTCCCAGTAAACTCTGAGTAAACATGACTTTGGGTTTCCGTCACACATCGTCTGAACCTTCCTTTGTTTCATCAAACCATCGCTGAAATGTTCCCCAGGCTGGAGCATGTTCAGCTGCAAATGAGCCCGTTGAAAGTTGGGCTTCTGTTTTCTGTAGCTGAGCAAATACAACTAGATTTGGGGGTTTGGTAACTTAATCGAGCTTCAAAACTTGCAGGCGAGGAAAGGCAGACACGAGGAGTAGATGCTGTGGAGCATCTGTAGTCTGGATGCAAAAGCATGCAGTGACTCACAGCTCATGGAGGCAATCAAGGCAGAATATTTAAAAAGCTCTGCACCAGAATATGTGTGATTGTCTTCTCAGGCACCCAGGTCCACAACATCTATGTCACATGTTGTTTTTGTTATTCAGTTCTTGACAGAACAAAATAAAAGCCCTGATTTGTGATCAGTCGGCTCTCTGTCTGTAGTCACGCTGTCCTGCCCACAGCTCCTGTGCTGACGGTGCTAGGCTAATGCTATCACAAAGGCGTTTGCTTTGCCTCTTAGCTTGTGGCTAGCGCTGTCTGGAGCATCTTTATAAAGTTAAATTAATTTCAACAACCTCCTCTCACTGACAGACCTTTCTCTCTCGCAGAGACACAACCATCTCAACAAGAAGCAGCCATCTCCACACATCAGGACATTAGCTGCTCGTGGCTAGTGGCTAGCAGCTAAGTTAGGAGGCAGCCACAGATGATCCTGAAACCGTTCTGGAACAAACTAACAAAGCGCTGAGATCTGGGTGTTAGTGGGCAATAAAAACTAAAAAATCAGCCCAGTAACCCAGTTAATGATTCAGAAAATCAGCTATCGATCTCCTTGGTTACTAATAATCGGTACAATGATCCTCATTTAACCTCCCAGAATGTACAGAAACAGTCCTGTGCAGAGCTCAGTTCTACGATCCGTCAGGACTTGGCCTCGTTACGTGAAGCGCTGTCAGATCACTCATGTTGTGAGCTGAGCTTTGTAAATAAAACTGAAATGAATTCTGTCCCGTTCGCTGTCTAACACAGTGTCTCTCTTTCTCAGTGGACAAACGGACCAGTGGACATTCACTTCCTGTCCTGGGCGTGACCCGGAGGACTGCGTTTACTTCCTGTCGTGGTTCTGAGGACGTCCGGCCCGTCGGACCGCCCACCACCGTGTGTGCGACACTTTAAGGACTGCTCATGCATCGTTTAAGGACTTGTGCGGCGCGATTGCGTCCGCTAACCGCCTCGCAGGCGGCTCAGACTGTCGGCCAGCAGCGGCCAATCACAGCCACCTCCACAGGGGGCACAAGGACGTTTCAGCCAGTCAGGTGCTACACAGCACCGGTGGCCTCAGAGCCGTTCCTGAATGGGACGAGCTCCAACTACGTGGAGGAGATGTACTACGCCTGGTTGGAGGACCCCAAGAGTGTTCACAAGGTAAGGAGCAGTGGAGCTCCCTGCTGGTGTGGAGGGACGGTGCAGCCGGCACAGATCCAGCACCAACGCTCCAGTCACACACTCATTTAAAAGCAGCAGGGAGGATTTTTAAGAGTTAGGAACCAGAGATTTTTGATTTGATTTGAACACCACATTATCAAAAACATCCCCGACATTTTTCATTTGAATCTTTAAAGGAAAAACACTGTTGTGATGTTAAATGATTCAGCTCTTTTCAGTGGAGCTACCTTTCTATGGCTAAAGCTCTAATTCGCAGCCTTTCTA